CAAATCCCTACTATATGATGATTTGAATCATTCGATATCCCTACCATATAGCAATTCAAATCCCTACCATATGACGATTTGAATCCCTACTATATAGTGATTTTAAATTTAAATCATTCAATATCTATATGATATGGGGTCTATTACTATATATTTTATATAAAAATATTAGTTTCTATAAGCATGCTAGATAGGCTATAGGCATAGTGGTGCATGTGGTAGTTTTAGTAGTAATCATTGTAAAAATTTATTTTGGCTGGTTTATACATTCAGTCCACCATATTATCTCCCAGTTCCCTGCCGCCGCGCCCCGTCCTACTTCCCTTCACCACAATGACGACTTATGTTTTTTACAGTCCTGACGGCGCAATTAATAATTTTTTCAACTCGAACACTACTGTAACAAGACAGCAATGCGATGAATTCGCCATTTCTCGCGCTGGCGGTGTGTCTACTGCTTTACAAATGCAAGGAGTGTGCAGCTATACCGTGACAGCGGGGCCCAACAAGTCCAAGCTCTTCCAGTTTCGAGATGAGAACTCTACCATTGATATGGGCATCATTAGTCTTGCCAAAGCAATCCATCCCGAATTTGTGGCTAGCTGCAAGTATCTCGGTACCATGGGCGATTCACGGCCGCTCTACATCTACGAGATGGAGAACCTTCCTGGGACTGCTCACATAATGGCGCGCATTCCACCAGACGACATGTCCCGACAGCATAACACTATCAATGACTTTGCAAGGTACGCCTAGTAAAGTTTTTGCTTCATTTGTAAGCACTAACCTATTAGAACAGGTTCTTTGCGCAGTCATGGAATAATGATCTAGAGCCATGCTCAGATAAAACTGCTGCCTTGCTGTTGGAGTTTCAATCAAATTTTGACCTTCTTGCTCGAAACCTGCCGTCTCGCTTTGCACCAAACCTAGAAAGGGTCCGCAAGGAGCTCCCGTCTCTCTTCTCAAATGCCCTCCCTTTTGTTCTTTGCCACGGTGACCTTAACGTGATGAATCTCCTCATCAACCCCAAAACCGGAAATATCACAGGGATTGTCGACTGGGCTGAATCAAGGATTCTGCCGTTTGGCTTCGCGCTATACGGGCTTGAGAATTTCTTGGGCTGGATGGATTCAGAAGGGTGGCACTACTACGATCACTACCGCGAACTCGAGAGCCTCTTCTGGCAAACCTTTCGAGAGGAGGCTCATAATTTCTCTGACGCTGATTTGTATTTGATCCGCGCTGCGAGGATGGCTGGATTTTTCTACCATTATGGATTTATTTTCGACACGAAAGGCGAGGTGCAAAGTGTGTGGATGGACCAGCCGGATGGTTCGCTCGCATATCTCGATGCTTTCTGTACTGCTGATGAGTGGACTCCTCTTTCTGAGCCTGCTTATGACGCGTTCAGGCGGGGAGGTTAGATGTCATGTGCGCATGCAGGTGTTTCTATATGTATTGACAGTAAACTCTGAGGGTACACATTGATAGTTGGTTAATCAAGTTGGCGAAAGGAAACTACTTTGGCAAAACATCGGTAGTGACACGCCCGATATTGAACTATCGCGATACCATCTCTAGGCAAAAGATACACTCAAAAGACAATGTCCTCACTTCTGAGGATAGCCATAAGCTTGAATCACATCGCCTAAATATGGTGGTAGAAGCAACCTTCACGAATGAAACCATCTTCCAACCTCCTCGAGATCCGTCATGCCCCCCAGGTGTTTGCATGCTGGTGACATGCATTGCACAGTTTTGTGCCATTTGACTGGATATATCTTACTTCATAACCGACTTTATTACAATCACCACATTCGCATTGACGACTTTGGATCTCCTCATCGGAAGCAGGTAAAGTTGTTGGGTATTAGCCGGATCCTTGTTAGTTCCCTTTGCTCTTTTTACAATACCACCTTTATTAAACGGAAGCATTGGCTCAGTAGAGGGGTTTTCGCTGGCACCAGTGGCATGGCTGGGCTCGATCCTTCTTTTCGACTTGCCTTGCGAAAGACCTTCCTAGAGAAAATGGAATAATGTGCGCTAGCTGTGTTCTCGCAGCGTTCATGCCTAGTTGATCAGCTTTGTATTTGCGCTTGGCTTCGGGATCCCGCAGATTAGAGACCACGCCGTGATAGTCGTCCCGTTAAGGCACATTGTCTTCAGGCTCTTTTGGTCTTTCCTGGACTTTGACTGCGTCATTTCACAATTTAACGTCGATATGGACCAGCCGCCCTGGACGGAGCTGACTTGCTCGAGTAGAACGTAGAACCACGAATGCACTACCACCAACGAGGGCATATTTCGTGTGTTGAGCAAGTGCATGGTCACCTCCTTGGTCTAGCTGCGAGACTTGCTCTTCACTGTTGCTCCCCGCATCTGATTCTGCTTGTCGCCAGTATGCTGAGAAACCCAAGGCTGGATATCGCGGCGATCGCAGGAGTGGTTTGTATAACACTCGGTATAAAGTCGTTGTTTTTCTAAGAAAGAATTCGACCAACAGAAGTCATGTGGACTGGAATCCTGCCTACGGCAGAGCGTGAACGTTGTGTTTTAGTATCGGACCCATCGCATCAATTGAGGGCGCGACGATGTCCGCATGTCCTTGGCCAATGCCCTGCCCTGAGCGTTTTACCATCGGAGTGCCGGTTTCGATCGTAACGTTGAAGGTTCGAAACATAGTAGCGAAGACACATCTTTGATAGGCATTGTTCGCAGTCACATTGTGTTTGTCACTGTCGAGTTCGCCCTGGAAGGTTAGCTGAGACTAGAACAATAAAATAGCCCAGCTTACTGAATTCTAGAGCTGTCTAGACTCTGACCGATTTCCTCAGCGTCCACCCAGGCTTCAGGGATGCGCATGTACACAAACTCCTGACGTCTGTTCAATCTTGAAATTGTATGAGAAACGTTTTTGATGGATTTAACCTATTGTGGTTGATTTTGATGATCAATTCGGAAGGGATGATTGCAGAGTTGGTAAGGATGATGATAGGAAGGGAATTCATGGTTCTGGCCTGGTGAGGTAGGCATTCACTAGAGCAACAGGTTAAATAGCTTACATTCACTGCCCATAGCCTAATCAATTTTGTAAAGGCTGCGGCTTGTCATTCAAAGGTGAATGTCAAACTAACTAAGCTGAGTCCCAAACCATACCAGTCTGGCCACCTGGATTTATATGGATCGACACCCTAGGTCTATCCAGTGGGCTGCCACTTCTGGTTACAATCTATGTCAAGCTGGAAGCCTCTGACTAGCACTAAGTCACTATCGCTAAATTTCAGTGTAATGGTTTATGGATTGCTTTAATTCATTAATCCCGTTTGCTATTGCCATGTCTTCAAGGGTAAGCTCTCAAGTTTCCCCACAGACTATGCAATAAAACTGCATTATATATGTTGGTATCTCCGCATGTCTTTGTCTATTATTGACTCATCTCCTGTACCTTCCGCTTATGTGCTAACCTCTTGCTCCTCCGTCGATATTCAGATGCCCGTCGGCAGGCCACGCATTTTGCGTCTTCATCAAAGAAGTGCTCATCCCTGAAGAGGTCAGCCACCCTGAGACGCCACCCTCTGCAAGCGGGGATACTCACATGTCGAGCTCACACTCATGGGGAGCATCCTCTGCGCAACCATAGCACTCGGGCTGCCGATATGTACAATCATTGACCACTCGGATGATCTGACTCCACCTGTCGTACAAAGTACCAGTAATGGTCGAATTGCCTCCGTCAGGCTGCTGGTCCTCCCTGCAAACCGAAACCCGTTCGATGAGAACAGGAGGTCCGTACTCGACCCTCTCAACCTCGACCCATCCCTCTCCATTGTCGATTTCCGAATCCTCCTCCCGCACACAATCCCACATATGCGTCTCCATCGCCGGGGTGACATCCTGATCAAAGCATACTATCCACAGCCCCTTCTCCTCAACATCTCCCCAGGACGGACAGTCCTCGGGTACGACGAGAACGAAACTGCGATATCGCCAGTCATGTCCGTAGGAATACTGAGTCCAGAACCTCTCTGTGCATGCCCAGGTCGGGACGATATGCGGCAGGGGTTGTTTCCCGCGTAGTTTCCGCACCGCTTCCTCGCCGTCCTCCTCGTTATCAGCCGAAGCCGTTGCCTTCCTGTGCATCTCCTCCAGGGCTTTCCTTCGGTAGATCTTCTCAGCGCGGTGGTGCTCCATGCACTCTTCGATACTTCCCAGTGGGGAGTACACGTCTACACGGGGCCAGTAATTGTGTAGATTTCCACAGTTTGCAATACCATGGCTGCTGAGCAACTTGGAACCGATTTCCTCTGGGGTCTCTTTTAACTCGGATAGAGTATACAGGTGAATACTCAATTTGATGATGGTCGATGGGTTGGAGCACCAACTGGGAGTTCCTCCGACCACAGTATAGCTGTTTCCCCGATGGTCGCGGAAGACTTGCGGCTTGTGGTTATATCGCCCTCCAAATGCAAGTTGCTTCATTCGTGCCATGGTGTCTTGAATTGGATGGTGGGGGACTCGTTGATGGAAATGAAGGCTTAAAGAATGTCTCCATTATTCAATGCGGGACTGGAAGACTGGAAGCTTGTTTTGATCATTCGATAGGAAGAGGGGTTGATCAGGCAGATCTAGGCACCTGCTTACCTAACACTGGATCCATGGAAGAAGATATATTTGCGATTGGCCCTGTTTGATGCTTCGCCAACTACGACAATTGTGAAGTTGTATTAGACATCCTAAACGCATGCATCCTCCCTCATTAACGTGACAACTAATTGTCTCTATAGGCACCTGCCTCTGTGGTATTATCTGAGTCGCCATTTAGAGGAATGCGGCTCTTAACACGGCGCTTTGAAGCGGGCTGCCGAGGAGGTGATGCGCTATAGCATCGTCATCTCACGCATGATTTGCCATGTTTATATAAGATGCTTCCAACCCTGGGCCGTATTGGTAATCATGAAATCTGGACTTCACCGAGGCTCTGTTCAGGTCGATCTCAAAATACCAAGAAAATATCAGGAAGACGGAAACGAAAACTTATAACACGTCACTTGACCAGACGCATCACCAATAAAAAGAGTATTCTTGAACATCCTCCAGGTACTCCCTAGATTTGCAGGTCGTTTACCCGCGGGGATATAGAGAAGATTCTTCCCCTCCCGGCTCACCCACTCGCCGTCATAGCTCAGCCCGTCAATTGCCGGCCTTTTGAATGTCCGCCTTTCGAATGACACCAAGGGAGATGCCAGCCCTTCGTCAGATGACGGCGGCAGCGGACTGACAGAGCCATCGTCGAGGCTCAACCGTCCCAGGTTCGTCAACAGGAATTTGCCGTCGTCGGAGAATGAAAGCTCGGTAACCCATCCCTCTAGCTTGGAGATCTGGGTGCAGGTTCCGGTAGCAGTATCCCAGAGAAATATGCCGTCAAGGGACGAAGAGGCAAGGGTCTTGCTGTCCGGCGAGAAGGCTGCTCCGGTAATTCTATTCCGGTGGGGGTTGTCGAGAGTCTGGTGAACACCGGTGGCTACGTTCAATAGGAGGGCCTTCGGGGATAAGAGAGCGGCCAGGAACTTCCCATCGGGGGAGAAGTCTACGTGGCCGATCAAGAAGCCCTTGAAGCTATGTTTGGAGGATCCAGTGGCCGGATCCCAAAGCTGTAAGGTGTCGCCAATACCCTGGGCCGCGAGGGTAGTTCCATCTGGAGAGAACACCAGCTTGACTATGCATCTCCCGCCATGTTTGAGAGTGTGCAGGCGGCTGCCCGTCGCAACATCCCACACGCACACTGTGTCCTCCAGCGAGCCAGATGCGAAGATTCTGCCGTCTGGAGAAAAGGCGGCTGACATGACTTTTTTGGTAGGGTGCGTGAGTGTATGTGTGCAGCCACCGTCAGCTGTCCAGAGTTGCATGGTGTCACCTGTCGAAACCCACAGAAGGACGGTATCTTCTGGAGAGGAGGACACGAAACTGATTGGAGCCCCAAGCCCCGTCGAGGTTTGCTCCGCTTCGCAAATTGAACCGTCCCAGACTTTTACAGTCCCGTTCTGTGCAACGGACGCGAAGTAGTTGGCGTCTGGTGAGCGGGAGATTGATCGAACGTCTATCCACCGGCCCTGACGAATCTGCTTGTAGATGGGATCTGCCGCATCCCAGAACTGCACTTTATTAAACAACATGAGAGCGACGAACCGCCCATCTGCCGTGATGGCATCAAGGGGGCGAAAATCGTCTTTATCCGGTTTGTATGTGAAGGTCGCGCTTTCGATATCCCAAAGCATCGCCGTTCGGTTCCACAACCCCAATGCAAGAGTTTTGCTATCCGGCGAGAATGCCACGGACCGGAGAGCCTCCCTAGACTCGAAGATGTCTTGTTTCAGTTTCCCAGCAGCAATATCCCATACCTGCACCGCTTTGTGTGTACAAACGACAAGAAGCTTAGCATCTGGCGACAAAGCGATGGTTCCCATAAAGTCGTTGGCGACATCCTCTATAGTCTTGGTACATACCATGCCTGCGGTATCCCAGAGACAAATGCTTGTACCGGAAGCCACAGCAAGAAATGCACCGTCTAGTGAAAAGGCCGATGCTGAAATGTATCCATCTGGAAAGTCAAGGGTCTGTTTGCAAGCCTCGGTGGTAACATCCCAGAACCGCACTGCACTTCTCGCAATGGTCGTGAGAGTGTTACCATCTGGCGAAAAAGCCACTGCGTAAACCCCACCGCCCTCCTCCAGAACTCGCCTGCAGCCACCAGTTGGAAGATCCCACAGCTGTACTCGCCCAGATGTAGCCGAAACGAGGACCTTCCCATCCGGTGAAAAAGCGACCGAGGAGTCCATGGTCGGGGATTCCAAGGTCTGCAGGCAAGCATCCCAAGCGTCCTCGACACCCTGGACAGACTCGATAAACGACAACCTGTCCTTCCAGAACATGTTCCTTATTTCGCTTTTGGTAGGACTCAGCGCAAGCGCAGTTCCGTATATCTGTAGAGGGGTCTGTTCGATGGCCGTCCGATGCCTGCGGACAAACTTTTCCACGTCCTTCAAGAAACTAACAAACTTGGGGCCTTTGCTCAATGTAGTCTGCGAACCCAGTTAGATATAGCGTATGTAACTACTTGAAGGCCCACTTTCCTTCAAATGATCATTGAGTTTTATGATTGATAATTGTCCGCTCGCCAGCTTATGCATGATACTCAAGCTCTCGAGCCAGTGGAGGAAATGAACCTTGAAAAAGGAAAAGATCTCCCCGTCATCAGCAAATAATTGACAATTCTCGTCCGAGATCTGACTATCAGCAAATAATTGACAATTTTCGTCCGAGACCTGACCATCTTCGAGAAGATGATCAATCCAAAACTCGCACGAGTACCGCAGGGCAGCTAGTGGATCTGGATTAGGAATCACGATATCGTCTGATTGAGTTCCTTCCTCGATGCCGCAAATGTTGCGCTTTAACCCCGATCCTTCTGCAGACATCCCTTCGATTGAGCGTTGCCAGATATCCGTATGGACTTGCGCGGGTCCGCGCTGCTGGAGCCGTGATTCGAAATTTGACATCAGCCATTCACGGGCTGTCAGGTGGACAAGAGAGACGGTTTTCTCTTGAACAGCCAGGAACGAGCCGCATTCTTTGACAATTCGCCCCGGTATATCATCCGAGTCTAGGCCAGCGATGACGTGCAGCTCATCGAAAGACAAGGGCCGGTAGGCAAGGCAAACAGCAGCCAAAACACTCCGGCAATACATGGGATCTTCATCTTGGCCTCTCTCAATTTGGTTCATGAGATGGTCGTATAGTTTGAGAAGATCATTAGGACATTTCTTAATCTTTCTCATTGCATACAATCCCGGGGTATCCGGAGTTCTTTGAACACCAAAGCCACCCACAGAAACGTGTTCATGGCGCGCTGACGAATCTCGCGTGAGATTTCCTCCTGAATCTTCGGTGTGTAGCCTGGCCTTTTAGCCAACTTACACAGATGGTGATCGATGTATGCGTTGACAGCGTCTTTGCTCCGAACGTCGAGCTCGCGGATTGTGCCTGGCGTGACCCGCTCCTTGAGCTTCTCGTAGACGTGGACATCGGGCCGACTGGAGACTAGCCACCTGATCTTGTCGGTTACGCTGAGGGATTCTGAGATGAGCTCGATCAGGTGTTCTCTTCCTGGTGTCTCCACGTCACACTCGTCCAGAGCGTCGACGATCAAATAGACGGGTGAGAATCTTGGATCAGCCAGCATTTCTAAAAACACTCTCTTCAGCGTCCAGAAGGCTTGACCATCGTTGAATCAGCTTCCGCTTTGGTACTTGGCCAGTAGATGGGAGGTGAGCTGTGGCTGCCGCTGCAGGAGTAACCAGATCAAGGATCGCAGAGCGGAAGTTGCGTCTTTGAGGTTTTGAGAGGCACTTTGGCAGAAAAAGTATGTCAGATTGGCCCCCGGCTGTTCCTCGAGCTCCCGAATGATGCCGATCAAGAGCATGGTCTTTCCCGTGCCAGCTGGCCCGTTGATCCACAGCAGTCGACAACCTTGGGCATCCCAATTTGTCCAGGTGGCGTATTGCTCGGTCCGGAGCACCCATTCGTAGGCTTCCTTTAGTAGCCTGTCCTTGCGCGCTTCAATATCAGCAATCTCACTCTGAGGGTCGACTGCATCGAAGTCTCGGAGGCATTTTGCGGTCTCGTCATCTAAATGCATCTTCTTCTGATCATCATTTTGCTGCCGAATATCCTGCCGCATGCCGCTTAGGAGCTCATTCCTCTCTTCTCCATCCTTGACAATTTTCCCAGTCATGTCCCTCATTTGGAGTGTGGTAAACTGCTTCAGATGATTTTCGACCGCGGTCTCGGCTTTCTTGACATCCTCCAAAGCTGCATCCCAGTCTTGCAAGTTGAGCATCTGACGGAGAAACTCTCCGACTTGGTTTCGGTAGTAGGAGCAGACGCTCTTCATTTGATACAAGAGCAGAGCTTTGTAGAGTTTGACAAGCGTGCTCTTCAACTGATCCCGGACTCCTTCGTAGTTCTCCTCTCCAACTTTGATATATTCCTTACTCAGAATGTGTTCAGACAAACTGCAATACCAATCCATGTTGGATACCACATACTCCATGCCGTCTTGGTTCGACTGCGAGGTTTGCATCGGATTTATGAGGACCTGCGCGGGTGTGAGAAGGAAACAATACTACATGTAACTTGTGACAAGCCAAGCACTCTCACCTGTAGTAGAACGCAGACTCCAGCCCACGGCAGAGCAGCCTGTGGAATATTCCCGATCGCCGTGTCAATCAAGCCCTTGGCCTTTAAGAAAACATCGGCCACAACGCCGACCCCTTTTGCGACATCTGACGTCGTCTTAATCTTCTGCAGGCCTTCTCTCACCAGCTTCTGCATCGCCAATTGTCGTTTCACTGGGTCATCCATTTGCGCCAGGACACCGTCCGCCGCTCCAGTGCCCTCAGGCTGGAGGTTCTTCATCATCACCTTCACATATGACTTCAAAAGAGCCGCCTCCTCGACCTTCAGGGTGTCATATGCTTAATTCCAGAGAATTTGCGACGTGGTAAGCTCCGGAGCGCCGTGAGCGGCCGCCCCTGGCTGTTTTGTTGCTGGGCCTTCACGGTCGTTTGTGCCAGGTTGTTGTCTTTCGGAAGACCCATTACCCGAGGCACCTGGCTTTTCGTTTCGTGTGGCATCTTCGTCAGGCTTCTTGTCTTTACGACTTCCACGTGTGAACCAGCACCGTGGCATCGTGACAGTACGAGCTCTGGATCGATCGCTACCTTGTTGAAGCGGTAGTTATTGTTATTGTTGGGGTGTTGGAGTGTTTGAGTAGTAGTTAAGGGGCAGGCTGAATCCGCCGCCTTTAAGTACGCCGTACTTCTGATCACATTAAGCGCTGAAAAGTGGCGCTGCTGAAGGTATGTACTTGTGTGACTGTGTCTCACAGACTTCCTCCTCCCAAAATCTAGACAAGAAAGAGCTGTGGAAGGTGCAGTCTAAAAGAGAATAACCCTGCGCCTCCAAAATCAAGTATCCTCACCTTCCTTATCTCTGACTAGTGTTCCCTCTGCAACGAAATTATGTACCCCAAGTGTTCCATTGACTCTTGGCTAAATCTGTACAGAGTAACTAGCGCTGGCTTAGCGCGATGTCTCCATCGAACCAGATACCTTCTTGGCCGGCATCAAATGAGACCACCTCAATCATGGTCTTCTCCATGTTTCATGTACAAGCAGAGAGGTACTAATGCCCCTTTGTATGCTTTTCTCTGTGTATGGAGTTCCCTGTGTCAAGCCTGGAGTATGATTTCATGGTAGTTAACCTATGTATAAATAAACTTCTGTTCTTTATGTATTTATGGAGTACAGTCAGCCCTATAAGTTGCTAGATAACCATATCTTGATATGTTTTTACTAGTCTGTAGATGTATGGATTTAATAAACAAACACCAAGTGTTCTCATCTATAAAATTCTGCCTTATCCCATTTCATGCTAACATTCACCATTTTGATGCAAAAGCATTGAAGGCCTTGTAGACATACATACAACGGCAGAGTTATGATTTAATGATAATCCTACGCTTTAGATTCCAGGCAGCCGAACACATATGAACCATTTGACCTTGTTGACAAATGACTGACCAGCTAAGTCTTTCTCACTGCATATAAGACTCTGCATGGTGTCTCTCGCCAGCAGGATGGCCGTGGAGCAGAAAGTCATAGATGCAGTCATAACAGAGGCCAAAGGCAGCTTTAAACTTTGAATCTGATTCTAGTGATAGTGAGACCTGCTTAGCTGTTAAATGCCGGAAGCTTCTGCCTGTGCTAGATATAGGCTGCTTCTAAGTTGGACATGTTTCCTCTCGCTATGTAATCAATCACCCACCAAACGTTTCCATATCCTAGTGAATCAAATCCATATTCTAAAGAAGTGCCTGCCCCTAAAAAGAGTACGATAAAGTAAACGAGTTAGAGATAGTATAGAAGGACTAGGAATAGTATTGAAAAGACAGGGGTATAATGATGATGCTCGTATTTGTTTATATCGTTAAGATACTGACCGACGATATTTTGGCAGTATGAGTCGTCATGGCGTCCAAACTATGACTTTTCCACACACTGATATATGCAAGTGACGGCTATTCACGTCGGCGACAGAGATGAATAATATTGAAATCAGGAAGGAGCTTCAAGTAACCAATATATATTTGCATGATTGTATATTAATCCAACTTGTATCGGTCCAGTCAACATGGAGCTCTATCACACGTTTATTTACCTCTCACCATGAGCAGGTTATATACCAGGAATAATGTGCCATCTGCAGAAGCTAGACCAGTACAGGGAGGTGAGTATCTATCTGAGCGGATCTCCGGATTTATCTTTCCATCCGCTGTCCGGTCAATCCGGATTGCTTGCTCGGTACAGTCATTGAAATGTCCACCGTAGAAACTTGCGGTTCCTGCAGATCATGATTTAATCCCTTGGCAGTTGACCTCAACGAACCGGATATAGGACCAGCATGAAACCAATATTGGCGCGTACTCAGCGGAAGATTCCCGGTAGAAGCTTGGTATTCTTGACTCTTCGCCTCGTTTCTGTAACAGGAGGTTTGCAATATCATCATTACTGACTTACGTACCCCGTAGATGTCACAGAAGTCAGTTAACTCCACCTCGAATGGATAGAGATATGATCGGCACTGCCTCGGTTATTCATCCGCGGAGGTGAACAGCAATAGAAAGAATATGATTCGGTTCTGTTGATCACTGACAGACTGTCTCTGATGCACGTGGACGCTAGAGTGGATTCTGCACCGTTATTACGATCATAGTGGCTTCGGCTACAGCTCTTAGGCTTCTTAGCAGCCCTTCTAAACCTTGATTTTCTCCGTCGGAGTCCCACTCTCCCGCCTGATAGTGCGCCGTAACAATGCAGATTATGCGGGCCGAGGGCGTGATCATGTCCATCACTGTGATTGATGGACATGATCCTTCACATGCTTGATTGATGTTGATTTATATTACTTCAGAAGTATTTAAACAAAATGGCAGCCCGCGGTATCGAGCGGAGTGCAGAAGCAAACTCCGACTGCAGTGGGCAATATGGTGAGAAGCACTCCTGTGATCACGGCGTTGTCCGTCCTTGCGAGTGGCGCACTGGCTGCCGTCGATTATCCTCCTATTCCCAGTGACTTGACGACTCCTTTCCAGCAGCGCCTTGCTGTGTATGGCCCTAATGGTAAGATCTCGACCCAACCGCAACACGTGATCTGACAGGCCCAGCTGTATCAATTGGATGGAACACATACGAGAAACTGGACCAGGGCTGTGTCCAGTATGGCACTTCCAGTAGTGCTCTGACCTCCAAGGCCTGCTCGTCCATTTCGACTACATATGCCACCTCGCGCACGTATTCCAATGTGGTGGTGTTGACCGGCCTCACCCCCGCCACCACCTACTACTACAAGATCGTCTCGGGCAACTCGACAGTCAACCATTTCCTCAGTCCTCGGACTCCAGGTGATACTACTCCGTTTAGCATGGATGTTGTCATTGATCTTGGCGTGTACGGCAAGGACGGGTACACCGTTGCTTCGAAAAAAATCAAAAAGTCGGACATCCCGTACATCCAACCCGAGCTCAACCACACCACCATCGGACGACTAGCCAGCACAATCGATGATTACGAGCTCGTAATTCACCCGGGAGACGTAGGGTACTCTGACGATTGGTTTCTGAAGGTCGATAATCTCCTGACTGGCAAGGATTCGTATCAGTCGATCCTGGAGCAGTTCTACGACCAGCTCGCCCCAATCGCCGGCCGCAAGCCCTACATGGCCAGCCCGGGGAACCACGAGGCAGACTGCACTGAAATTCCGTACACGTCCGGCCTCTGCCCAGAAGGCCAGCGCAACTTCACCGACTTCATGCACCGCTTCGCCAACACCATGCCCAGGTCCTTCGCCTCGTCCTCCTCCAGCGACACCGCGCAATCCCTCGCCTCCAAGGCCAAATCCCTCTCCAACCCACCCTTCTGGTACTCCTTCGAGTACGGCATGGCCCACATCGTCATGATCGACACCGAAACCGACTTCCCCGACGCCCCAGACGGCCCCGACGGCTCTGCCGGCCTCAACGGCGGGCCCTTTGGCGGCGCAACCCAACAGCTCGATTTTCTGGCTGCCGACCTCGCCAGCGTCGACCGCACCGTCACCCCCTGGGTCATCGTCGCCGGCCACAGACCCTGGTACACCACCGGCAGCGGCAGCGGGTGCACCCCCTGCCAGGCCGCCTTCGAGGGCCTCCTGTACAAATACGGCGTGGACCTCGGCGTGTTCGGCCACGTGCACAACTCGCAGCGCTTCCTGCCTGTTGTGAATGGCACCGCCGACGCCAAAGGCATGAACGACCCCTCCGCGCCGATGTACATCGTTGCCGGCGCGGCGGGGAATATCGAGGGGCTGAGCAGCGTTGGCTCGAAACCGGCGTATACTGCTTTTGCATACGCCGATGACTACTCCTATGCGACGGTGCGGTTCCTGAATCGGACGAGTCTGCAGGTGGATTTTATCCGGTCGAATACCGGCGAGGTCCTGGATTCGAGTACGTTGTATAAGAGTCACAAAACCCAGTTTGTGGTGCAGTAGTTTGCTCTGCTCGCTGTGAAAGAAGGATATGTATATACAATGCAATGCAATGCGTGGTGGGTACGCAGTAAAGCAGTCAGTGACCAGTAATGTACATGAGACCGGCTCAGTCTGTAGTTGTAGTTGGCCTTGTGCCTTTTGTCCATCCACCAATAGCCATTATGTCGTGCGTCTGTAGATGTTCATGGCGCTGCTTGTGCTCCAGGCACGGACTTTATTCACTCGGTCAAGAAAATGTGTCGAATGTATGCGATCGAAATACGGTAGCCGGTGGGTATATGGCGGGAGGAAGGGTTATTTGTCCAGATTCCAACCACGCGCTTCCTCCGCCTCGCGCGCGTCTCGCTTTTTGTTTCGGTAGAGGAGATAGCAGCATACGCAGATGGCGATTAGGACGAGTCTGGCAGTGGAGTATGAGTATGGAGACATTCCTTCAACATCACTAGAAGAGTAAGAGAACGTACATCCCGACGATAATGCCCGGCACCCCTGTCTTGAGGAAATCGCTGACCGGTTTCTCGCAAGAGGCTGAGTTGCCGTTACTGCAATCTCTCCGTAATAATATCGATAATATCGCCATTTTGTTGTTACTTCGTATGAGAGCCTTATGTTGTGCTGCGCGGTTGATGCTGAGATGCAGATCGTCAAGATTGACAAGAAGAACCAGAACCAGAACAGAAAGCAGAAAAGGGGTCGACGGGTTTAAAACCAAAGATGATGGGCTGCGACACGCAGGGTCATCTCCTGGAAAACTGAAACCGTCATCCCTTGAGGCGAGACAGCCTGCTGCAAGGTCACCAATAAGGGGCGGCCGAAAACGCCGGTTGCAGCGCCCGTCCACTTCGCGCGGCGCTAAGGAATGGTCCAAGACTCCATAATTTATTGCAGACTATTATTATCTACGGAGTATTGGCATCTAGATAACTGCTTTTATTCGACGGTCATGTTTCATCACCACCAGAACCGGCCACAACTGCAACATCACCCCTCCCACCATCAAACAGCCCGCAAACACCTGCGCCTTCAGAAAATCCGAATCTGCAGCGGATAAATCCACCAGCGCCCCAGCGATAGGCGTCCCCACCAGCGATCCAAACGAACTGATCCCCCACATCATCCCCATGCGCGTCCCCAGGTAATTCGGGTCCGGACACAGCGCCGGATGCCCGATGATCGCCGTCGGCGCCGTCACCAGCACCCCGCTGAGGAACCCCCAGTAGCAGGCCCAGACGACGAAGCCAGGAAGATTGGTCGCCGCGATCCAGGTGAACATGGCTAGTGCGGAGCCGGCGACGCCGAGGCAGAGGATGGCGATCGGGGGGATGTACGCGCTGAGGAGGTAGGGGACGACGCGGCCGAAGGCGGAGGCGCCGTTGATGATGGCGACCATGTAGAAGGAGAGGCTGCGGGTGGTGTGCAGCTGCGTGCGCGCGTACGAGGGGACGTAGAAGAGCGGGATGTAGTAGGCGAGCATGACGCAGGTGAGGGAGGTCGAGAACAGCATGAAGGGGAGGTCGGTGAAGGCGCGCCATTCGATCATGCTGCGCGCGCGGGTCTTCTTGCCTGGTTTGCGGCAGAGGATGAGGATGGTGATGAGCCCTAGGAAAAGATTGATGAAGCCGATGCTGCGGACCGTCCAGGGGAAGCCGATGCGCGGTTGCAGTTGCCGGAACATGATGGGGAAGACGACGCTGCCGACGCTGGAGCCGATGGCTGCGCAGCCGATTGCGATGGGCTGTTTCGTGGTGAAGTTGCTTGAGATGACGACCATCGCGGGGATGTAGGCGATGCCGCCGCCGAAACCGACGCAGAAGCCTTGAGCCAGGAGGATCTGCAGAGTTAGCCAGGGGGCTGGTGGATGGGGAGGGTGACCTACCTGGTAGTACTGCGTCGCCAGACTGGTCATCATGATCCCAAAGACAACGAGGGCCATTCCAATGGTGATTAGAACCCGCAGATATCCCGAATCAACCAACGGACCAGTCACGACTCCAACCATGACGATCAATGTGGCCTGCACGCTGCCCACCCAGGAAATGGACGAAGGCGACTGCGAGGTCAGCAGTACCGTCTGATAATACTCTTGAAACGCGCCATACGAAGCAAGCAGTCCCCTGTTCATCAGCCTCGGTCCACCGTGACTGGTACTCTGAGACTTACCATGAATTTACAAACACACAGAACCCAGCGAGTACGCTGAGCCATGCTTGTATTCCCCCGTTTGGAACCGGTGCCATTGCCTCGACAGCCCCAGCAGCATCTTGTCCTGTTTGTACCGAGCCGGATTCATCCTGTTGCAGTGAGCGAGTATCCGTCTTTCCGATTGTCACCATGCCGCTTGTCCAAAGATTCCTTGTAGAATTTACGAGAACTCCAACTACGTATAATATGGAGAAGCCGACATTATAAACCCTGATCGGGGTCATCCCCGACTCCCCGCAGTGGAGTCTGGAGTTTGCCGTTTTCCCGTGGGGTAATGTTGGCCATGACTAATGAGCACTGTCGGCTTAAAGGACGGCATCTATAATACCTGGCAGTATTAAATCTGATGATTGTCTTGGTTCTAGGATTGACGACCATAGACAATAGCAGGAATGAATAGCTGCGACAAGAGTTCACAATGCAGTGTAGTGGTGACTGCACACATTGTGTCGCATTGCATTATAACGAATTCCCAGAAAGAACATCTCCGGCATTAACCGCACGGAACCGGCCTTCGGAGACTCTCACTTGCAATGGAAACAGGTGCGAGGATATCTGCATAGGAGTTCTGAGGAAATCTGGCTCATTTCAGGACCACAGTATCATTATGGACTCCAAGCAAGCGCCAGGACGGTGGTTTCTCAGTAGCAGTTTATCCTCCCAGATTAGGTATCATCGACGAGACTAAGCCTTGCTCATTTGTGGACTTTATAGACACAAAACGAACCTCCATCATCAAGCTAATTCATGTCTAACCATGGATGGAGACTCAAGCTCGGAACGCGGACTTGAGGAGGAAAGTTCCACCGGTTTTGACTGCCTGGCATACATTTCCGATACTGGCTGAGTGCGATTCATTTTCTGTTTTCGATGCCGTCGCAGAATATAGAAGAATACAACTGCTCCTATTGCAAGAGCTCCTAGAGGAACTCCAACTCCTATCCCGATCTTTGCGCCTTCTGCAAGTCCAGATTGACCTGAATGATCCATCGAACTTGCTGGGGGTGAAGTTGAAGGTGGACCAAATGAAGATGACGATGTCGATGTCTGGGACACACTTGTCGACTTGGGGAGGTCGGATTTGTCCCAAATGAGCGGAATCCCATCGGCGTAAACGGTCACTGGCGTCGAGAGCGTACTGGTGACAACAATACCAGAGGCCGCCAGTGTGACAGTCTCCTTTGCAGGGAGGACACCGCTGCATTGGTGACCACCGGCGTAGTAACCCATGCTCCTAGTCAAGTAAGCTTACTTCTACATCAAGCCATGGGTCACTCACGAAGGGCAGCAAATCGCTCCACTGGTGCTACTTGATATCTCAATCCCATTCCATGATCCGGATAGTTGGCCCGCTGTGGCCCATCCACTGGGACAGTACAATCCTGGAGAATCTATTTGACTATCAGTACGTTCATTAGTGAATTCCCTTGGAAGCAAGTCGACATACACCAGTATGTCCCCCAATATGTGGGAGAAAGAAGCAGCGATGTTGGCATCGTGCCAGTTGGGTAACATGGTTCGCCAGGTCCATCGAACCAGTGCCCGTAATATGTAGTTGTTTGCGGTATCCCATTCACCTCGTAGACAGCTGTGGATAAAGTCTGAAGGCAAGTAGTTGGGGGAGCAAAAGTGGTGGTTAGTGGCCCTCGGTTGAAGTAGCTGGTTATGTTGACCAATGCGGCCATTTCGAGGATTTCCTCTCTACGACACCTCGACGGTGACAAAGGAACAGGATGAATTTAGAGATTTACGGAGTACTCCTCCAGCTCTGAACTGCGGGGGTCTGACAATATGGCATAAATAGCGCTGGAATGGGCGCTTGGACATCTTACCTAAGATTGGATGCACAAATAACATGCGATAAGGCAGCCCACGATCTGCGGAACTCGAGTGATGACCAATTAGATAGAGTATTAACGTAATCGGTAAGCGAGCGGATCACGCAACCAAGTAGATTACTAAATGTATTTTAACTTCCATTTCAAAAGCTGCAGTATTCAGCCAGCTACTATGCCACTAAAAGCATATATAAACTCAAAAAATTCAGTTGAGCAGGAGGGAAGGGTGTTAAGGGCTACAGCGAACCATAAAGCCACCATACACAGCCAACACTAATAGTGCAGAGGGTTTAGACCTAGTAGATCACATAATCTACTATATATATCTCTGTAATTAGCTAAGTATTCTATAACTTAGTAATTAGTTCTCCTTACTTAGGTAATATATAGATATTTACTCCCTTCATACTGATCTTACTAGTTAATATTAATCTTTAGTAGGTGATCTTATAGTTCTAATTACTCTTAAAAATCTAATTAGCTTATTAGGACACTATAAGATAATAGTTAATACTAGATCTTTCTCTAGAACTCTAAACCCACGCAGTGAATCTATATCTATAATAAAAAAGATAATTTCTATCTATAAAGAACTAACTAATCTTATAGAATCTATAACTAAATAACTAGATAATAGTTATAATAGTATTCTCCTACTATATATAAATAACTAACCTACCTCTAAAAGGGTAGAAAGGGCAAATACCCCTATAGAATTAGAAGTCTAGTATATAGAAAAGAGGAAGTAACTAATAAATACTATCCTTAATAATAATAATAAGATTATTTATAAACTTTTAGAAAGAGAATACTAGCTTAAGTAAAAGCTTAGGTAAGTAGAAATTAAGAGATATATCTAGAAGATAGAAATCTAATTGGGATATTCATAGTCATTAGGGATGTGGAGTCTTTGAAGAGTGTAAGGGTAGGGGGTAGGCTAGTAGCCACTCTATATATACCTTCTTAACTTTAAGGGATTCTAGTTATCTTTTATATTTTAGCCTAAGCTAAGAATAAATATAAGGCCTAACTAACTATATAAATAGTAATAATAGTTACTAAATATTATTACACCCCTAATATAGCTTCCCTAAAGCTATATACCTACTATTAATATTACATCCTCCCCTGCTTAAACTAAACTTTATCTATAGAGTTCTTAGTTAGTAGCTATTAATATAACTATATAGATATAACTATTACTAAGAGATATTAATTTCTAAATCTAGTATTTAGATATTATTATTTCTTTATTAATAATCTATAGAATTAACTAAATTATTCTTTATACTATTATTTTAAAATTATTATAGTGGTAGCTAAGTATATTCTTTATTTAATATATAAGAGGTATAATTAGATTACCTTACTTAGTAATATTAATAAGTAAGTTATCTAAGTAATTAGTAATCCTTAAGCACTATATAAAGAATTATAGTAAATATTATTATTTATATATATATATAAATAATTAAATTAATAAAGGTAGAATTAACTAATAAGTATAGATAAATAAGTAAGTATTTACTACTAGTATATATAGCCTAGGTATAAATATCTTTAACTTTCTTATTTAATATATAAGATATTTTATAACTAAGCCTTAATATTAGATCCCCTAGCTTAACTTTTATTTATTTAAATTAATAGACTTTTATAGTCTCTTCTCTTTATAAAGTATATTTATCTTCTATAACTCCTTAGTTATTATACTTCTATTTCTAATTTAAAGATACTTATTCCTAATTATTATAGTACTATTAAGTAGGTAATAGAAGAGTACTTTTTTTTATTAATAAAGTAAGATAGATTCTATATTACCTTCCTAGATATAGTATATAATATTAAATAGTCTTATAATAAAAGTAGTAAACTATTAATTAAGCTAATTATTAATCTATCTTAGTAATTAGCTATTATTCTCTATTAGTAAGGTATTACTAATTTACTATAGGTCCTAGTTATAAGTAATATATAGATTCTAGTATATTTCTTAAATATATTATATCTTCTAAGTATAATTTAAATAATATAACTTAGGTATTATTTTAGGGCACTTATATAAACTATCTATAGTATAAAAAAGATTTAAACTATAAATTTTACCTAGGTTATAGTAAATAATAGAATTCTAGAGATAATATATAAGTTTTTATTTTAAATTTTTTACTAATAATTATTTATTTATATAGGATAATTCTATAAACTAGTAATTTACTAAAAATTTAGAATAATAGTCTTACCTTATAAGATATACCTCTAAGTAAAACTATTAATATATCTACTAAATAATAATTAAATACTTTATATTAGACTCCTCCTAAACTTACTACTAAATTTAGTCTAAATTATTATAGTTATTATTCCTCTTCTTCTATAAGTAAAGCTATTCTATCTATACTTAATATTAATCTTAAGTATTAAACTAGATTAAGTTAGTTAAGTAGTCCTAAAGAGAATCTAATTTTTATATTAAGTATTTACTATTACTATACTATTATTAAGAAAGCTTAAGCTAAAGTAGTATACTCTAATATTCTATTCTTTCTAAAGCTAGATAATAGTTCTCTAACCTTAAATATTACTCTAACTTTAAGTATTAATAATTTTTTTATTTCTAATATAGACTTTATAGTAGAAGTTATTATTATTAATTTTTATTTAAATTTATCTTAGCCTAACTCTATTACTTCTAGTCTTAATAATCTAAAGAATAAATATTATCTTACTTTAAGTAGAGTATCTCTAACTCTTTTTAAAAAATATTATTTTAATTATTTTTTAGATAGTACTATTCTTTCTTAGCCTATATTAATATCTAATTTTAAAAATCTTATTATATTTTAAATAGTTTAGAAGGATCTTACTTATTTCTTTAAGCTTATTAATAAAAAAATTTTAAAGCTTAAAAAAGCTCTTTACTCTAATAAAGTAGATAATAATAATAAAGAATTTAATCTAAAGAATAAGATATATTAAGATAAATAACTTTCTAATCTTACTAGTCTTTAAGATAGAGATAGAGGCTAAGGTAATTAAGTATTACTTATATTAAGAAAGCTAATAAAGTTAAGAAAGTCTAGAAGATTTTTTTATTTAATTATTTTCTTTTATATTTAGTTATTTTTAAGTAATTTTAACTCTAATTAAATAAATCTTTTCTCTTATCTTAATATTCTTATAATACTAGATAACTTATCCTTCTCTAATTACTTTTAATAAGTTAGAACTACTACTATAAATAGTTTATTAAAATCTATATCTCTTCTACTAGTATCCTATTAGATTTAATTATTCTTTAATAAATTATATAGTATTCTCTTATTTAGCTTATTATTTAAAGAAGTTAAGTTAATTTTACTTTAGTTACTTCCTAGAGTTAACTTCTTTTAATAGTATATAGATTAGCTAGTTCCTATTAATATATTATTAATATATTTTTAAATCTTTATTTATTAAGTATATTATTTTATTAAGATACCCTTTCTTATCTATTTTAAATATACTCCTAAATATTTAGTAAATTCCTAATCCTTTTAAGTTATTTTTAAAAGTTTATTATATAAGAATAAGGATTCTTTAACCTCTTTAAATATCTTATATACTTTAATTAGTATATAAAGTAATAATTCTATCTTCTATAGTTATTATATTAATATAGCTAATATCTATTAGAGTTGCATTTGGTGTGAGTTCAGGTAAGTTCAAAACCAGTTAGCACTGAACTACTATAATTTTAAGTTTAAATTTTAGAACCCGCAGCCAACCCAGATCTAATCCAGGTTAGTGGTAGTTTCACTATAAAAACCTATTACTAGGCCTAGCTAGGCCTAGCTAGGCCCCTACTAACTAACCATGGTTAGATTTGGTTTAATTTTGAGTTAGTTAAACTGCTACCCCTTAGTGAATTTTGATGGTTTTTGAATTTTAATGCCTCATTGAATGCTATATTATCTATCATAATATTACTATGCTAATTAAAAATTATCATTTTTATATAAAATATATCATAATTATCATCATACTAATCTATATCTAAAATTTTAATTCAATATCTATAGGGCTGAATGGGGGGTGGTTAAAAAATCATTTTTAAACCATAGTAGTTATTAACTATTAGTTATATATATATATATATCTACATCACTTTCATACCACCCCATGATGAAAATGATTATTCCTCTATATCTCAGCAACCACTAGGTATTTTAAATTAATATTTATATCACTAGATAGCCTGGATCAGGGGCTATCTAGTGATATCAAAATTATTAGTGAAATACTAGAAATTAGTGATTTCTATCTAAAATAGATTAGGTGGTTTCACCTAATCTGCAAAAACTGCAGAAATTAAAACTAACAGTTTTCACTAAACCCAAATTAGGCCCAGGG